TTTTGTATGCAAAGGTTTTGGACAAATATCCTTTAAAATAATTTGAAAGGTGTTTTGTCTTAACTCTTGCACAAAGTTAGATAAACTTACTTAAACTATGATGTGTTTTTGCAGAGAATTCTAGTAGTAGGAAATTGATCTTCTACAGCAAACCATCCCTACCAGACATTTATGTAGTTGAGATTGAAATGACCAAGAGTTGCAACCTTTCACCGCTGATTTGTGTATTTGTATTGGTCAAAATGTTCCTCAATATCAATGCAAGTGCTCACATAGTTTTTGGATGTTTAAACACTATTTAGATAGTAGTTAACTATCAAAAATATGAAAATGTGTCAAGTAGACTTGAACAACTTCTGAGCATTGTAGGAACCAGACAGTGATGGATCTTATGTCAGATCCTAAGATGCCCCTTCTTGCAACTGATCAAATTTTGAAAATACCTAACACATCTTTCCATCGTACTAGAGCGATTCGAGAAGAGCGCTTTGGATATTCTAGTATGACTGGCTGAAATTAAGTTTCAGCCAAGTCTAATAAGAAATATTCTTTCTTACTATTATACTAATGTCGTCCCCTCTTCCTGTTCTTCTCAATCAACCCCTCTTCATATCCCGATGTTTACGATAAAAATCTGAGAACAACTTGATAGATCAGAAGCATCCAAAGCCCCCGCATTGTCAATTTTACTCCTGTATATATTTACAACTGTTTCCAAAGTCGAAAAAAGAGGACAAGCAAGTGGATATGACTTCAGATAAATGTAAAATCCCACATTGGTGAGATTGCCCATAATTACACCACCTGTAAGATGATATATGATTGATAATACAAAGTTGTTTATCGTACTGATCCGATCAGAAGCAGGGTGTGAATCCAATTCAATTTCCTCGAGTAGCCTGGGGAGCAAGGTCGAGTGGTTGGATGAAGATTCCAACGACCATCAGCATGCAGGATAGGCAGAGGAGAAGTGGCCTGTCGAGGCGAATTTTGTCCGAGCATGAGACATGGGCACCGCTAAAGATTGGAAAGGATCTAAGTTGGGAACCGGGAAGTAACTTAGATTAGAAAAGAGTTGTGTAACATTTTTCAAAAAAAAGAGGATTTGTAAAGATAGGATGACTCTGATGCAAAATAAGTATGTGGTATTTTTGGTTTCTTTTGCCTTTTATCTGCCTTGTAAAAGTTTTTCACCACCTAACGTCCTATTCCTTAGAATTTTGATTCTTTGCCATCAAGTTGTGGATTCTACCTTTTGCAAGACTCTTTGCAGCTTCAGATTTGCCTTTTTAATGAAAGGATTGGAGTTGCAGTTTTTTATTATTTTGGCCCCTTTCATCTGATGAAAGTAGAACTTGTAATCGAGAATAGGGACAAGCAAAAAGACTAATGAGAAATGAAAAGCTGATGACTTAGACCCTGTTTGCTAATCCAATTCAGTGCTTAAAGTTAATAGATTCAGATCTTAATATATTTACACCGTTTGATAATAAAAAATTGAACATCTGAACTAAATTAAATGACACTAAATTTCTTAGGCAAAATTTGCTTTTAAAATTAAGTGTTAAACTATTCACTTATCATTGAATGTGATATGCACTCAAATGTATTAAATTTAATAATTAACAATTCAATAACTTAATGGATTCAAACTTCACATTTTAGATTTCAAACTTCAGTTTTATCACATGCACCCTTAGTATGAAATTAGATAGGAAATATTGATAGAGAAATTAGATTAAAAAAAATCCCAATTAAGCGCCTTACTATCATTGCGTTTAGGAAAGAAAACGAAATAAGAAAATATTAAGGAAAATAAGCTTTTAGAAGCATGAAACAAGCAATGAAGGTAGAGAAGGAAAAAAAAATACTAGATTTTTTTAAAACAAAAGGAAAAGTAAGAAGTGCCAAAAGAAAAATTTAATGGAGAAAGAGAAGGAAAAGCTTTCTTTATTACTTGAAAATCAACATTATCAACAAAGAGACCAAACAAGCAGAACTGTAGAAGTGAAAACGAAAAAACAAAAAAACCTTCAATACTTCTTGTATCATCCAAGGATTATATCCTTAACATGAAATCTTTGTTATACGACAAAGAAAACCACAAGAAAGTACGAGCAACAAATGGCATCAAATCAAGGTCAATAATGAAGAACGAGGACGTGGAAGTTGATAATTTCATTCTGGGTGGTATCATTGTAAGCATAGATTATTGCTGTAACCAATCCACGGGCCAATCGAAAAGCCCCAGAACCACCTGCTATTGGCATCTCCTTGTACTTCTGGAAGAAGGGATAATCACCTAGAACGCTAAGGGTGCTACCATTGAACTTGCCATCGTTGAATACCAAGTTCATGATGACAATTTGTGAAGCATCATCCTCTTTCGATGCCGAACTGGATATGCCCTGGGCGTGACCGATGATCTGGGAACTGGGCTCAGGTCCCAGTGTCATCGGGTCATCGAAGACGTAGGTTGCCCCGAACATCGTGGGAGATTTGCTAGTAGCATTGGCTTGAGCAACTAGCACAGATGCGGGGCTCTCTGCAGTTACCCTGTCATGAACATAGAAGTGAAGCTCTGTCAACTTCTCCTTTGCATGTCGAAGCTCTTTGAACCATTTTTTGACGGCTTCAGGACTTTGATCAATGCTGCCATGAGCCAATATTGGCAGGGCCGTCATCGCCACGACCCACCACAGTATTGCAATGAGTTGTGTTGTCTTGATCTTCATGTTGATCTTGTCCATAGTAGGGGAGAATTAGAGCAGTGCTTTGAAAGGCTAATAGTGTTGGGATGAAGCTTTTTTTTTTTTTTTTTTATTTAATTTCTTCAGTGCACAGGCAAAATGCTATTGTTATCCATCTTGAAAGTTGAAGATGAGCCTAGCCACAGCCACTACAATATTTGTCTTCCTTTGTCTATTAGATTAAGAAATTTAATTAAGGCATGAAAATGATCAGTGCTTAATGTTCTATGAGTAGACTTGCATGTGCCAAGCATATGCAGAAAACAAAAAATGTAACATTACGGTCACCAACCTCAGTTTATTATATGACATGAGCCTTCTTTGAAAGACAAAATCACATAAACAAGACTCGCTAACAGCTCACAAACAAAGAGAAGCCGTGAAAATGACAAACTAAAAATTATTTAGGCCGGCAAAGCAGATTTTTGTTTGCCAAAGACACGTTCTGCTAAGGCACATGTAACAGCAAGTGCTGAGAAAGATTGCAACTATTCTAGAGTAACAGCAGTGACTATGAGTATAGCATTGCAACTATTCTAGAGGATGTACAGGATCTTAGAACAGGCTTTGATAGGTGCTCTTTTGTGTTTATTTCTAGAACAGCAAATGAAATCAGTCATGCACTAGCTCATTTTGTAGTTAAATTGGTGCATAGCATTGAATGGGAAAATGACTTCCCAATATGGCTGATTGAGTTAGGGATGAAAGAAATGAGGGTAGTATCCCCTTTTTGTAACTAATACTTGTATTATCAAGTGTTAATATTAATGAAATCTGTTGTCGTTTGTTGGAAAAAAAAAAAGTGCTGAGATAGATTTATTTTCCCTATATGAATTGGCTGTATTTCTTGAAGATGGAATCGTGGAAATGATAATATCTAATATTAAATTTCAAGACGGAGTAGAACAATTGTAAATAGGGTAAATTACTTATTACCCTCTATGGTTTTACATAATGCTATATGACCCTCCTAAGGTTTTAAAATATCCACATAACCCCTTATAGTTTTATATAAAGTGGAAAATGGACGAAATGCACAATCACTTGTGGCATTTATACCAAATGTGCTTTAAAAGCACATGTGATAAAATTTTATTATCCATGTAATCTTCTTATGATTTGTATAAATATCCACTTTACCACATATGATTTTTGCATTTATCCACATAATTTTTCTATGCTTTTATACATAGTGGTTAAGCCATCAATTGATTTAGCATTTAATTAATTAGGGCACTATTGATATTTCAACTAACGACATTAGATAGGTTGTTTTTTGTCAAATTTTCACTTTATATAAAACCATAGGGGGATGAAATGGACATTTTGAAACGTTAGGAGGGTCATGTGGTAATAGATGAAACCACATGGGAGTTATATGTAATTTACCATTGTAAACATTACAGTGATTTTCAAGTCGGCATATGTATGCACATTGAGCTGCATTTACCTAAACAAAATGTCAAAGAAATTGTAATCTGGAGTCAACGAAATTTGTGTATTTACACCCAGACTTCTTAGGTTAGGAAAAGAAAAATTAGCAAAGCCAAATTGACATTTGATCAATAGATTTATACTGATGAGACTGATGAAATGCGCCGACCAGCCAGCTAGCTCTGGAGATTAAGCAAGCCACAAGAACTTGACCTACACAAAAGTGAAAACCAAGCAAAAACAATTTCTTAGTAATAGCTTATATTCCATTTCCACCTGTTATCATTCCTAAGCAAGCAGTAGTCGGCAAGGAAGCAAGTCTTTGAACCTTTAACTTATGCATTACTTTGCAAATCATTTTGTTTGTGTATATTCTTTAAGCTAACCAAATAAGTTCTTTGGACTACAATTTATTATACTGATTTTTGAGAGGCTACTGTAAAAATATAGAATCTTTGAAGAGCCAGAGATAGAAAGACCACCAAAAAAAAAAAGAAAAAAAAAGAGTGAGAGAGCCAGAGATTGGAGGGGAAAAAATTTCAAGACGTTGAGTCAGTGAGTTGGTTTGACCTTTTCTTTGATTGGTTCCTTGAGTACTATAAATGAACTGATAAACTTTCCGGTAATCCAGGGCTGACCTCTTGCATTTGGATGGCTTCTTGAGCACTACTGCTATCTTGATGGACCACCAGTTTTTTTTAGTATACCATGATCGTGTTGTTCACAATGTCATGGTGGTCAATAGAAACGCGTGATATTTATATTTAAGAGAAACGAAAGTTAAGAGAAGAAGAAATAGATATACACAGAGAAAGCATGGCTTCTGCTAGATCTTACAAAACAGTTCAAATTATATTCATCTTGATTATAATTACTGCTGCTTCTATTTCATCAGTCTTGTCTAAGCCAAATGATGTATTGGATTCCAGTGACAACCACGCAATCAAACTATCCGTCTGAGTCAAAGGCTGCAGAAGTTAAAGAGAATTAGAAGTTATCTGAGGAGGATTAACAAACTAGCAATCAAGACAATTGAGGCAATTCTACTTCATACCTTCCAGAACTGTTTCTAGCTAAAGTTGGCGTCTTTTTAGTGGTTTTCAGGTTTACTGATTTCAATTTGCCTTACTACTTTGACACAGAGTCCAGATGGTGATCTAATAGATTGTGTCCCATCTCATCTCCAACCAGCTTTTGATCATCCTCTGCTCAAAGGACAGAAGTCACTGGTAATTGAGCTCAAAATCAGGTCATTTCCTCCATGTTTCTGCAGAAACTACAGTTTAAGGAAACTATTTTGTCAAAAGTACAATTACACATGCTTAGTCATGGGCTGAGATAATCAAAACATATTCAGAATTAACCTGGTACACCACATTGACAGAAATTTGATGTCTTGAAAAGTTTTGTTTGGACTGGTTCTGGGTATAGACAGAGCTTTTAACTATAACTCTGCTGATATTTTGACAGAAACCAACCCACCATGGTTCGAGGAAGAGCATTCAACTGTGGACTGATTCTGGTGAATCGTGCCCTGATGCTACTGTACCCATCAGAAGAACTACAATGAAAGATGTCCTGAGGGCTGGTTCACTGCACAAATTTGGCAGAAAAACTTTCAGTAAACAGAGTGCTAAGATAAGCAGTGATGATCAACTGGTAAGTCTATGAAATGTAGTAAAATGGCACTCAAACAATCTAGGTACAGTTAGTTTTTAAGAAACTAGCTAGGTCAGTTTCACAGATTTATCAAGGCAATGATTTCTAAATCAATGCATAAGCAACTCGAAGCTTGAGGAAACTTCCCACAATCCCATATTTTCTTCCTATGATTACATCGAGATGTCTCTCTCTCCTAAATTAGATCATGCCATTTTCTTGTTCTTTCCTAAGAATAATTACGTTTGTGGAACACTGCCACACAAATGAGAAGTTTGTGAAGAGAATAAAAGTGAAATTCTTACCAAAAGAGAAAGTGATATTTAAGAAACTAATTGGACAATTTGAACAACTCAACTTGTGAATCAAATTGCAGTTAACATATTCTGGCTCTGTCTAAGCTTTGAAGTTCCCTTTCGTAGCATCAAAAGTTCACAGATTCAGATTCAGTATACATGATCTTTTCTTTATTTTCAATGTAGAAAACTGTTGCCACTGTTACTGAAGATTGTTTCTATGGAACGCGAGTCAAGATACATGTCTGGAAAGGTAATGAGACGGACCAATACGACTTCAGACTGTCACAAGTCTGGATAGCCTCTGGTAATACTACTAGTAATGATCTTAATACTGTTGAAGCCGGCTGGCAGGTAAGTAAACTAGACACAAGAATCATGTTTTCTAAGTCTTCTGGGTGCAAGAAGACATCTAAGGATCAGCCATTTTTAAATTCTCCAGGTTAATCGGAAATTATTTGGAGACAACTCCCCCAGATTATTCACGTACTGGACGGTAAACCATCAAATACACATCCTTAAGTTACGTCTGTATGTGCTAGACATAAAAGCTCTAGACTACTGATCACTTTCAATCTACAGGCTGATTCATATGGAACCACAGGATGCTATAGCCTCCTGTGTTCAGGCTTTGTACAAACTAATAACAGAATTTCTTTAGGGGCAGCAATCCCTCCAAGATTTACTCAGAATGGCAGAGAACTTGATATCGACATACCGATGATGATTGCAAAGGTAAGTTCAGTGCTATCTTATGCAACCTTCAAGTTCAGATTCTTACAGACTTTGATTGAAACATCCTGAGTTTTTGTCTTGCAAAATCAAACTAAATTCACATATTTGCATTTCAACAAATGAAACTAAGAAAAGTACAACCCTATTGTTTGCCTGCTCAAATTAGGAAGAGTATTGTCATCTTTTGTCTAACAAACAAATGGTTAACCATGACATTACAACTGTATATCATCCTCATTCTGATACCTTTCTAACTTACCAACTATTCTTGATATAGTTAATTGACTGTCAGATTATCCTCTCTGTCAGGGCATCGGGATTTTATTTATTTTTTTATTTATCCTTTGTTGGCGACAACTAAGGTTCTGTTACTAGTTCATAACAACTGGCTTTAAATGATGCTTGTAGCTTTTGTCCCAACTCCATCAAAACCACACAACTTCTATCAAGTAATGGATCACAAACAAGTAAAGGCAAGTGGGGAGGGCAGTTTGCAAGTGCCGTTTAATGCCAATTTCATGTATCCACAAAAGAAGAATATCTATAAGGAACAATGATTCAAAACATCTCTGGTATTTTGTTAAATGAATTTTTCATCCTTCAGTTTTAAAATAGCAACTTTAGGTCTACTCCAAAATCAAATGGATAAATTTTGGTCCCAATCTAGTCTTTGACCATTTTTTTACCTTGAATTCATCACGTGAACAACACATGATTTTTTTAGGGGTAAAAGAATTAGATTCCATTTGTAGTTAAATAGAATGACTCGATCCATATTCATTTTTGTCCCAAAAAGGTAGGATCTAACCCAAACCATATTCATTTTTTTAAAAAAAAAGTGGGATTGAATCAAAATATAAATTCATTTTTGTCACTAAAAATATAGGATTTGACCTTTTTGTACATAAAAAAATGACTGCATTTGAGTTACGTGATGATTTCAGGCTAAAAAAGTGATAGAAAACTTAGGTTACGACCAAATTTTGCTAACTTAAATTTGTAAGGAACATAAAATTAATATTTTAAAACTGAAGGGCGAAAAAATTCATTTGACCAAATGTGAAAAGCATTTTGAACCATTTTTCTTATTTATAACTATATAAGTGTGTCTTTCAAAAATGGTGGATCCCCTTGGCGAGACCCGCAATTTATGTATAAAAGTGCCAATTAATAAACTCATATATAAACCACCAAATACTAAGGCTTCCCTATAGACCCAATTGGGTCTCCTCCTAGATTAGGTTAGAATAGGAGTAAAGTAGATAAATGACGAATGAAAAAAAAAACTCACATATAAGTAGCTTGAAACTAATCATGTCTCAACTCATTTTGTTCAAATGTAAAATATCTTCTTCTTTTTCTTTTTTTTTTTTGCATATTTGACATATATAACCTAGTCCCTGATAATATATTAACCGGCTTGTTGATAGTGTAGGAAACATGTTTGGATTAGCATTATTTTGTAAAATTTACTTGCATTACAAACACATCTTTTATCACTTTTTTTTTAATCTCATATATATCATCAGAGATGAAATTAGGGGACAGCGAAAGGGCTCTCACCTCCCCAAGTTTCATAAAATTTAAATTTCCTTCCTTATGAAATTAAAAAATTTCCAAAATCACTCTTTATAATGATTTTAGGTTGCACGATTAAGTGTTGGTATATTAAAACTCACCCGCTCAAGATATATTTCCTAGTTCCATCTATGTATATGACATCATAATAGTGCTACACTAATCATTCTAAATAATATTTCAGATAATCTCCAATTAAAATATACTATCTTAATTATACAACTGAAGTTCCATTTTTGTAGGATGCTGAGCATGGACATTGGTGGCTCGAAATCGGGCCAGGGTTCGTTGTTGGATATTGGCCATCATTTCTGTTCAGTCGTCTACATAGCCATGCAAACATGGTTCAGTTTGGGGGAATAATGGTTAAAGCCAGATCAATGGGACTGAATGCACCAGCTCAAATTACAACCGGTGATATTTCAGATGGAGGGATTGGCAAAGCATCGAACAGTCAAGACTTGAAAGTTACTGAAGGCGTTGATAAATTAGTGCCTTTGTGTAGTGTAGAAATCTTTGCAAGACAGCTTTTCAACGCGTCTCACATGGTCAAATAGTAGCTTCACATGACTGTGATTAGCTTGTCTAATATTTGGTATGTTTTGCATCATTTAGCTGACTACTTATTGTGGATTCACAGACATCTATCTATCCTTTCAGCCCCTTCCCAATTAAATTTCCTTTTGATCCTTGTTTCTCTTCCGTGACGTAGACTCTCTGTGCATTTGTGACTTACACAAATACTAATTTTTTGTTACTTATTTTTATTCTTGGATTAGGAGAGGGGATAAAAAGAAATGAATCCAAAATCTCTAATTTATGAGATCTCAATTTTAGCTACTAGACCAATGGCTTATTGACTACACAAATACTAATAATTCATCTGTTTGCACTAAAAAAAGGGCTTGGGCTGTGTATACATTTCATTGGCCGTGTAGTACTAGTGGCTTTTGTATACATTTCATTGATAGTGAAGTATTAGTGGCTATGGTGTTTCATGGTTGGTGGTTGTAGCTTTGGATGTTGGGAGTAAGGGTGACAATTCCTGACACGACCCGAAAACACGACACGAACCTAACACGAAATTAATGGGTTTGGGTTGAGGTTTCGAGAGTTCGGGTCAGAATCGGGTCGAACCCGATGAACCCGAAAAGAAAACAGGTCAATTTCGGGTCAATCCGTGGTGACCTGATATGACCCGATGTGACCCGTTTACGAATTAAAACTAATTTAATAAACATAAAAATTATTTTATCTAACTAAACTAAATCATTCTTTTTTTCCAAAGGCATTAATTACTTAATCCTAAATGAATTTATTTAACTTGTGTGAAGTTAAAATTATTATATTTGGATAAATAATATATTATGTTATTTTTTACTTTTATGTTGTTTTAATTTATTTTATAATTGGTTTGGGATAAAACACTTTTATGGTGTTTAATTTATTTTAGATTTGGTTTGAAATTATTTATTTAAATTTTTATTACTTGATGATGTAATTAATTTTGTGAAAATTTGATTTTATTAGAAATTACAGTGATAAATTAATAAATTAAAATTAAGTTTCGGGTCATTTCAGATCGACCGACCAACAAACCCGCCAACCCGAAATTTTCGGGTTCGTATCAGGTACCTTGACCCGTTTCGGGTTGACGGGCCGGGTTCGGGTCAGCAGGTTCTTTGTTATACTAAAACCTCAACCCGACCCGCCAACCCGAACCTGACCCGATTGCCACCCCTAGTTGGGGGTGCCATGGTGGTTAAGTCTTTATGTTTTTTTTGGGACAATTATTTTTTATTAAAGTTTTTAACACCTTACAGTGGCAACCATCTATCAGTATTTGAAAAACCCATACTGTTGCACTAGTGGTCAAGGGCACACTCAATGTGTGTGTAATTTAAAAATAAATTATTTTTTATGTAAATTTATTTTACATAAAATTTTTATTATTAAACATAACTTTAATCTTTTATGTTTTTTTTTTTACTTTAAGACTATAATGATGTTCATAAGTCAATGGGTAGTTATATTGGGAAGATATGATTTTGTAGTTGCAATGAAAATAGATTGCAGTTAGAGTAAAAAATTTTTAAAAGTCATAAATGAAAATTTGAAAAGTCATAAAAAATGTTTACGCCAAACCTAGCCTTCCACTTTATATATAGTGTGTATATAGTATAGATGTTCATATAATCGCTGTAAACTTTAACATTCTTATAAACTTTAGGGAGATGCTACAGGCCTGCATAATGCTATAGTCCCTTCGTCTTACACCATTTTGGTATCATACTCATCATAGCCTACTAAAACCGTGAAATCAATTTTTTTTTTTAAATAGATGCCATCCCTTAATTTATTTATAACCAAAAAGAGTACAGCGAATTAGAGGGGGGCTAAACCTGACCTCTGTTAAAGTAAAAAGGGACAACTAAGGATCAACAATAATACGCACAGATGAAAAAATTTGCGAATCTAAACACATAACAGATGAATCGAACGAAATCATCCACATGAGGATGCCCCACATTTGTGGGATTGTGAGTGAGCATAGGAATTTGGTTTAACATCTTGACGTGTTTGCATTGTTTTACTTGAGAGCTGCTTCCTCGCTTTCTTTGAAATAAATTGGGTAAATTGCTCGTGAACTAGGTTCTGATCTTGATCTCTGTCTTTATCGCGTTGTGAATCATCTTCTTTTTCTTTATTTTTGTCATCCTTGCATATTGTTCTTGAATGACGAAAAGGCTTTTGATACCGTAAAATCAAATGTTAACAGACAAATTGTGAAGTATATGATTTCCTACCATAATATATTCCGGAACTTTAACTCAAAGTAAAGGCAATTGTTAGACAAATTTCAACTTCAAATATTACTTCTAACAAACTAAAATTAGAAGAAAACAAAGGCAGATAATCGAAGACATGAGATCCTTTTTTTTTTTTTTTCTTTTGCTTTTGAGAACATCAATTTTCTTTTCCTTTTTCTAGTTTTAAGGTCTTCCCACCTAGCATTAGAATTTGATTCTTAAAATTTCTTGTTTGTGACAAGGAAGAAGCTTTCTCAGTATCCTTCACATAGACGACATAAGCAGCCATCAGTCCATGAGAGAAGAAAGCTATCTTTCTTTGATCCACCTTCTTAGGGAAGAGAACAAAAATGGACCGCACGATGCGCGGGGGAGTGAACTCTTCTATGGTGTTGCATTTGCTCTTGGTGATCTATCTTTTCATCGTACTTTAGTGTTTTGAGAGGAACGAATAGGGTATTGTAGCATGTCTAAGTAAAATTCAGTTTCAGCGAATTCTGACAAAAAAATGTTCTTACTATCACATTAATGTCGTCCCCTCGTCCTATTCTTCTCATTCAACCCCTCTTCTTGTCCCGGTGTTGACAATAAAAATCTAAGAAAACTTGATATATCAGAAGTAACCAAAGCCCTTTTGCATTGTCAACTTTGCTCTTGTGTGTGTGTGTCTGTGTGTCTATATATATATAGACACACAGACACACACACGACCGTTTCCAAAGTTGAAAAAAGAGGAGAAGCAAGTGGCTGTGATTTCAGATAAATATAAAATCCCACATTAATGAGAGATGCCCATGGGAAGGCACGTCCATTTAGATGCAATGAGGGTAGAGGGAAAGCATGCTCATTTAGACTAGAAGGGAGTTTTGGCATATCTTTGAGTTTTTTTTTTTTTTTTTTTAAATGTAAGGTGCAAAGTTTGAACCATCGACTTATACCTTAACAAGGATTTTAGATCTATTTTGGTGGCCAACTTACCTAAGACAAGTTTATTTTTCCTTTTTTGTGTGATTTGTAGAAGTTTTTCAGCACCTATTCGACATCCTGTCCCTTAGAAGTTTTATTATTTGCCATCAAGTCGTGGATTCTACCTTTTGCAAGATTCTTTGCAGCTGCAGATTTGCCTTTTTCACGCAAGAATTGGAGTTTTTTTTTTTTAATGAAAGTAGAACTTGTGATCGAGAAAGCCGCAAGCAAAAAGTCTAAGGAGAGATCAAAAGCCACCTTATCGATGTTGTAATTAGAAATTTGGATAAAAGATTCCAGGCGCCTTACTACCATTGCGCATCTGAAAGAAAAACGAAATAAGAAATATTCAGGAAAATAAACTTTTACAAGGATGAAACAAGCAACGAAGGTAGAAAAAGAAAGAAAAACAACCAATACTAAATTTTTTTTTTTTTTAAAAAAAAAACAGAAGAAAAAAGTAAGAAGTGCCAAAGGAAAATTTAATGGAGAAAGAGAAGGAAAAGCTTTCTTTATTAGCTGCAAATCAATATTATCAAGAAAGAGACCAAACAAGTAGTACAGTAGAAGTGGAAAACCAAAAAAAAAAAAAAAAAAAAACACTTCAATACTTCTTGTATCATCCAAGGATTATGCCCTTAACATGAAGTCTTTATTATACGGACAAAGGGAACTAAGAAAACTATATAGCTAGGATACAAACAGCAGAGGAGAACACCACAAGCAAAATACGAGGAACAAATGGCATCAATTCAAATCAGGGTCAATAATGCAGAACGAGGGCGTGAAACTCGATAATTTCATTCAGGCCATTGGTAGCAATGGCTCTTGCCGTAACTATTCCACGGGCCAATCGAAAAGCCCCAGAACCACCTAGTATTGGCATCTCCTTGTACTTCTGCGACAGGGGATAACTACCTAGAACGCTGAGGGTGCTACCTTTGAACTGGCCATCGTTGAATGCCAAGTTCAGGATCACAATTAGTGAAGCGTCCTTTTTCGAAACCGAACTGTACACGCCGTGAGCTCGACCGATGACCTTGGAACTGGGCTCAGGCCCTACTGTCATCGGATCATCGAAGACGTAGGTTGCCCCGAACATCGTGGGTGATTTGCTGGTAGTGTTGGCTTGAGCAACTAGAATAGCCGAGGGGTTCTTGGCAGTTACCGTGTCATGAACATAGAAGTGAAGCTCTGTCAACTTCTCCTTTGCATGTCCAAGCTCTTTGAACCATTTTTTAACGGCTTCAGGACTTTGATCAATGCTGCCATGAGCCAATATTGGCATGGCCATCATCGCCACGACCCACCATAGTATTGCAATGAGTTGTATTGTCTTCATCTTCGTGCTTATCTCGTCCATTTCCGTGCCTCTTCTACCCCTTTTTATAGTAGGAACTAGGAACTAGGAAGGATCGTAGAAATGTAGCCAATTCAATGTAAGCATGTACTACTACCTTGACTAAAACATTCAATTTTAATTTACGGAATTGATTACGAGACAACACTTAAAATGTAGTCATGATTGGAATGACTATATATTTCTATTCTTCCAAGTTCTTACCCTCTTTGGTTGAGTTGACTTTCCCGTAATAGGGGTGAATAAGATAGCCAAGATCTTCTAACACAACTTTTGCTATTACACTATTTATCCAATTGACATGTGTCTCCTGAAATAATTGATAGAAATTCAAAATTTAAATATTTGTCTTGATTGATGACGGGACACTTGTCACTTTAAGAAATTTTGTAAGGTAATGCAACATAGAAATGTGAAACAG